AAATACTAAAACTTTCACGGTAAAACCCCAAAACTTGAATATGAATCAAACAAGGCACTTAGCACAAGAATCTATCAAAGGCAAGGCTTCCAGGGACCTGGGACGTCTTGACTCAATTCAAACATTGCTTCATCTGGCTACAGATTTTGTACTTGGCACTTTTATCCCTTAATCTACTCTATATCCCAAGCAGCCAGGAATGGATTTCTTTTCAGCCTTGACTTTGTTATCAATCTCTCATGCAGAGCGCCTGAGAGCCTGGTTTTTTTTTCTTTGCTGACTGAAAGCATTTCTCCTATCTTGCCTCAGTAATTTCTGCAGCTGGCTCAGGTGCCGAGCTTTTCTAAGGCGCAAAGCCCTGGGAATAGCAAGAGGGGTAGCCAGAGGGGTAGCAATTCAGGCCCAGGGAACAGACCATCATCCCAATGTCATGAGTAAGGCAAAGGTAAAGGTTTCCACTGACATTAAGTCTAGTCATGTCCGACTGGAGGGTGGGGCTCATCTCCATTTCTAAGCCGAAGAGCTGGCATTTTCCATAGACACCTCCAGGGTCATGTGGCCAGCATGATTGCATGGAGCGCCGTTACCTTCCCACAGAAGCAGTACTTACTGATCTACACACACTTGCATGTTTTCGAACTGCTAGGTTGGCAGAAGCTGGGGCTAACAGTGGGAGCTCACCCCACTCCCCGGATTCGAACAGCCAATCTTTCGGTCAGCAAGTTCAGCAGCTCAGTGGTTTAATCTGCTGCACCACCAAGGGCCATGTTATGAGTACATCGCTCTATATGCCTTTGTCTGATAGGAGATCTTGATCTGTGTGCGTATATTTTGTGTATAGAGCAACGTGTCAAGATTAAAAGCCTCCTGTGAGTTTGGATGAAAACTGATTGAGACAATTTTCCTAAACAGTGATCACTACAAGATCAGATGGTGCAGTTACACTCTGCTGACAACTGATAAGCACTCTACAGTGTATAGGTTCATTTTCCGGCTTGCCTATGAGACATTCAATCCATTGCGCCACATATTCAGGGTGTGTCTGATTGGGAAAAACCTATCCTGTCTCGACAGAGGAGTCTTCTCCTCTGGAAGTCTTTAAACAGAAACTGGATGGCCATCTGTTGGGAGACATTGGATGGTATCTTCCAGCCTGGCAGAATGGGGTTGGACTGGATGGCCCCTTGGGGTCTCTTCCAACTCCAGGATTCTGTGAAAAGTCCGATGAAAACACAACGGAGGAAACCCGAACTGGACTTGTGACACCTTTCTTAGAGTGACCCATGGATGTTACTTTTCAGATTTCTATTTTGAAGCCTATTTGATGACTGAGGCTTTGTGTGTTTCTGGACAGTATAACTTTCCCAGCACTCTCAATTGGCTTCCTTTTGTCCATTTGTCTACGGGCGCACCTTCGTCCCTCCGGATCTTATGTTTCCAGGGCCGTAGCCTTGTTTTCCTTCTTTCTCCCTTTCAATAACCGTCCTGCCGTCCAAATGTTTAGCGCGGCACGCATCCGCATTAAGGCATGTGCCATTTATCTGCAGGGAAGGGTGGCAGATAGGCCGGGGGTAACTAATTAAGATAGGGACTTAATTGGCTTCTGAAGCAAGCGCTGTTAACGGGGCTCCTCTCTGCCGTGTACCATAATTGCTCTGCGGCTAGAAATTAGCGTGTTATATCAAGCTGACGGCGGAGAGGTTTTCAAGGACAGCGGTGTCCTTTTTTAAGAGCGGCTTTGAAAAACAAGTCGAAGGAAGAGTGTGGCTTTGATTGGGACTTCTCATTCCACTTAAAGGTCTGTGCATTGCAAAGAATTTGGAGAAGAATGTGAAAGTAGCCTTATAGCAGGCCTGGGCCAAGTTGGGCCCTCCAGGTGTTTTGGACTTCAACTCCCACCATTCCTAACAGCCTACCGGCTGTTAGGAATGGTGGGAGTTGAAGTCCAAAACACCTGGAGGGCCCAACTTGGCCCAGGCCTGCTACAGAGCATGCTCACCTCCAGAAGTGATCCAGTCCAGGATGTTTATTTTGGAGAAGAAAAGGCTGAGAAAAGAGGGACACGAGAGTCAAGCTTGAATATTTGAAAGGAGATCCTGTTGGATTATTTTTGACAACCGAGCATGCATTTAGAAATAGCCTTTTTCTCTGGTCACCATATTCTGTTGCTGAAAGCTAACTGTCCTGAATTGCCCTTCAAAAACCGCCTCTCTAGACAATGTTGAAAGTAAAAGAAAAATGCTTTACTTCAGAAAACACAAAGGCTAAGCAAATGCAATCGCTGGGGCGACATACAGGAAGCATACCGCCCCCGTGCTACGTCAGCTCCACTGGCTGCCGGTCCACCTCTGAGCCCAATTCAAAGTGCTGGTTTTGACCTATAAAGCGCTATACGGTTCTGGCCCAGCTTACTTGTCCAAACGCATCTGCCTCTATGTCTGTTGTGGCTCAGCTTGATGAGCCTGAAACTGAACCCTCTTGTGAGCCTGAAATGTTCCCTGGACCCTCTTGTGAGCCTGTGTTGGGGTTCAGCCTGTGTGCAAACCTGAACCTGATTCTCTGATTGTATTTCCTGATGCCACTGTAGATGTCAATGTGAATTCTGAGGCCAATTTAGATGATGATGGTTTGAGTAGTGAAAATCCTACAGCCTTGGAAAGCAAAAGTCAAGATTCCCATGAGAACATGCATTCCGAGCCGAGCGGAGACGTTTCACTCCCTTTTCCTCCCAGTCTTAGTTCTCCAGAGAATCTGATACCTGGCCTGCCTAATGAGGATAGGCGAGGCAGATTTGGCAGAGCCGGAGAGAAGCACAAAGTTTACGTAGGTCAGCCAGATTGAGAGAAATCCAAACAAAAACTTCAGGCGTGTCTCACAATAGATTTCTTGGCCTTTAGTATGCCTGGCCTGAATGCAGCTTCAGACCAGGCATCGTTCCAGATTCATGTGCAAGCTTTTCCAGGTCTCCTGATTCAAGTGGCCTTGTTCCTCTGAGGCTTTCTAGTTGTTCCAAGTACGGTTAGTGGATTGCTAACAGGTTCCAGGATTCAGCAGTTTTGCTGTGGGTTTTATGATCTTGTTTATGGACATTTCTTGTTGCTGATTTTTACTGTGACTTTTTACCTTTGCATTTTTCCTCTATTTTGTACTCATCTTTCATCAATAAAGAAGGATTGTTTTCCTGAAGTTGTGTGGTGGATTGTTGTCTGAGGGTCCAGTTTCCTGCTCTGGGTTGCAACAGCCTGAAATGTTCTCTGATGAAGAGGATGATGGGATTCAGATTGCTGGGCCTGCTTCTCTGCCTTTCCCTGTGCCTCTTGCAGACAGTGCACCGGAGGAGTTGCCAAGTCAGTTCTCATGGGAAAAGAATGGTGAACTAGATAACGACCAGGTGCAGAGGCCTCCTCTTTCTCAGTCATCTCACGCTGATAGAGAAGAGAGCTTTGATAGTGATTTAATGAGCAGGCAGGAACATTTAGATTGGTGGATCAGGAGGAGTTCACGGATAACCAGCAAGAAAGAAGCTACGTCGGTGAAAGGTCACCGTAACGATTTCATGTTGGCAAGAGGGACTCCTGGAGCTCAATGGCAACAAATTATTATTATTATTATTATTATTATTATCTTTATTTGTACTCCGCTAACATCTCCCGAAGGACTCGATGTGGCTTACACAGGCCAAGGCCTCAATAAAAACAACAGCATAACAATACACATAACATTATAAAGCAAATCAAAACGTTAAGCAATAACAGTAAACAATAAAAACAAAGCACATGGTTTTCAGGAAAATAGGCTATAGGGCTGTCGTAGGTTTTTCAGGCTATATGGCCATGTTCTAGAAGCATTCTCTCCTGATGTTTTGCCTTCATCTATGGCAGGCATCCTCAGAGGTTGTGAGGTCTCAGACTACACAACCTCTGAGAATGCTTGCCATAGATGCAGGCGAAACATCAGGAGAAAATGCTTCTAGAACAAGGCCATATAGCCCGAAAAACCTACAACAACCTAGTGATTCCAGTCATGGAAGCCTTCGACAAAATAGGTTATAGCTTCAGTCCAAGTTGTGGCTGGGAAATACAATTCAAATTCTGGGAAGATAATTAGGATAGATTAGGGGAGGCATCTGTCCCAGTAATATCCCAACATGAATGAATGAAGCTTTATTTATATCCCACCCCACCGAAAGGTCGCAGGTTCGATTCTGGGGAGCGGCATGAGCTTCCACTGTCAGCCCTAGCTTCTGCCAACCTAGCAGTTTGAAAACATGCAAATGTGAGTAGATCAATAGGTACCACTCCGGTGGGAAGGTAACGACGCTCCATGCAGTCATGCCGGCCACATGACCTTGGAGGTGTCTATGGACAACGCCGGCTCTTCGGTTTAGAAATGGAGATGAGTACCAACCCACAGAGTCTGACATAACTGGACTTAATGTCAGGGGACAACCTTTTTATAACAAAACAATAACATAAATAATAATAAAACACATAACAAGTCAAACATCCTCCAGATAGTCACTGTTGAATGTTTTTATGTTGAATGTTTTTATATTGGGTAAATGCTATTTTAGACTGTAAATCGCTCGGAGCACCTTGGTGGAGAGTGACTAATTAAGAAATAAAGTGAAGTGAAGTGAAGTGAAGATGTTGCTGCACTACAAATCCTACCAGCCCAAGTTGAGGAATGATGGGAGCTGCAGTCCAAAAACATTTGGGGAGTCATGTGTTTGCCAATCTAGATAGGCCTGTGATTCGGCACACAGAACGCTACTTTCAACCCTGTATTTCAACTCCATAGAAGTCATGCTTTGGTCACATCTTGTAAGGATGGGGAATATGTCTAGCTTTCAGAGGGGAAGAACTCCTCCTTCCAAGACCCCGTTGGTACAATATGTTCCACAGTTTGCATTGGAAACTCTGCTGCACATAAACCGTGGCCGATAAAGCTCCAGCAGAGAAGCCCCGTATACCCTACGGTGGCAGAAGATAGGCTCTCACCTTGTAGATCTTGCCCTCCTCTGTGCCCACAAGGAACAAATAGTCAATCTTCTTGTGGAAGTCAAACGAAGTCCCGCAGCCTGTTTGGGAAGCGGAAAAGGAAGGCGGAAAGGCAAATCAGCAAACAGCCTTTGTTGCCATGTCCCAATGGGCTGGTACTCATTCAAAACCACCTTACTCTGATCTGCACACACTATTCACCGATAAATCACACAGTCCTAGACACTTGGGAAAGGTCCGAAACAGCAAAGGGTTCGGGGGGGGGGGGGGTGAACATAGGGTCTGGGCCCCCCACATAGCTGCACTTTCCCCACAAAACCCAAAGAGTGGAGTGAAACCTTCCAGGCGTACCAATGGTGTTCAGTTGCAGCCCCTCCGGCCCTTCCAGTGTCGTCCCTTCCACCAGCAGTTTGATGATATCCGTATGGACCAGTTCGTTCTGTTGGGGGAAGAGAACATTGTGTGAAAGGATTCTGCCGCTTCCTTAGTTGTTTTGCTTCCAGTTGCCCTACAGGCCCGCACCCTGGTTGCTCAGCAGTGGGTCCTGGTACCTGTTGCCATTTGTTTACGGGTGCCCAGGAGAAGCACTCACTGCAGTCCTGATTATCCTGGATGCCGACCGAGCCAGTATAGACCTCTTTAGGGTTTGTTTCACCATATTTAAATGGGTTGGATGCATTCAGTTCTGCTTCTCAGTTGAGACCACTCTAGCTTGGTTGAATCTACTGGTAGTTTGCACTACCATCAGCACAGCTCTCAACATCATAGAAGCAGTTAAGCCCCCCTCTCCCCACCAACAACAAGGCGGAACCCGATTTTTTCACGATATGAGGATTTAAAGATCAAACTGCAAAGACTCTGGCACAAGCCAATCCAGGGGGTCTCAGTGATGATCAGCACACTGGGTGCAGTGCCTCAAGATCTTGGCCTGGACTTAAAAACAATCAACACTGACAAAATTACCATCCATCAGCTGCGAAAGGCCACCCTACTCTGATCTGCATGCGCTATTCGCTGATGCAACGCACAGTACTAGACACTTGGGAAGGATCAGATGTGTGATCCAATGAAAAGCCAGCATAGTGATCTTTTTGCTGTGTGCTAATCTTGTTGTATAGCTAATAATAATAATAATAATAATAATAATAATAATAATAATAATATCACACAGTCCTAGACACTTGGGAAGTGTTCGACGTGATTTTGTGGTATGAAATCCAGCACATAGATCTCGTTTGCTGTGACATACTGTGCTTTTGTGTCTGTAAAATAATAATAATAATAATAATAATAATAATAATAATAATAATAAACATCACACAGTCCTAGACGCTTGGGAAGTGTTCGACTTGTGATTTTGTGATACGAAATCCAGCAAAGAGATCTTGTTTGCTGTGACATACTGTGCTTTTGTGTCTGTAAAATAATAATAATAATAATAATAATAATAATAATAAACATCACACAGTCCTAGACGCTTGGGAAGTGTTCGACTTGTGATTTTGTGATACGAAATTCAGCAAAGAGATCTTGTTTGCTGTGACATACTGTGCTTTTGTGTCTGTAAAATAATAATAATAATAATAATAATAATAATAATAATAATAATAATAAACATCACACAGTCCTAGACGCTTGGGAAGTGTTCAACTTGTGATTTTGTGATACAAAATCCAGCATATAGATCTCATTTGCTGTGACATACTGTGGTTTTGTGTCTGTAAAATAATAATAATAATAATAATAATAATAATAATAATAATAACACCAACAATAATAGGAGAAAAGTGCTTTAAATGCCTGGGAGAACATGGGAAAATTGTATTAAACTGCAAAAACTGTTTTTGTGGGAAGACCATCCCACAGCACATTTTGCTCTAGTTTTTCAATGAATATCTCATCATCAAGTCTCAAGCAAACAACAAAGTTTTTTGAGGATGAGTGACATCTCCTTTCAAAATAAGGGCCACACGATTAAACAGGAATAACACTTTCAAACCAGGAACAGAAAACCTTTCAAATTTTGTTACATACTGCGATCACCTAGACTTCCTTTTTTGATGTCAGTATTTTTCATGTTCCCAAAATAGAGGTGAAGGGAGAAACGGTGCTTTAAATGCCCGTGAAAAACCCAGCCAAAGAGCAGAGGTTCCTCATCTGAGCCAAACCTCCGTGTCTCTATTTTTGGAAGCTTCTCCGTGAATTTGAATGACTTTGATCCAATGGAGACTTGGGGAGGTACGGAGCCTTTTGTGAAGGTTAAAGGGTCAAGCGAGCAGAGAGCGAATTGGGCCTTGGACAGCGGAGCAGAGCGCCTTTGGGGAGCTTCACCGGAGGCCAAACCTTCTGCCGCCTCCGTCAATGGAGCTTGAGAGAGACCTGACTGCGAAGGAGGTGGGAGCGTGAGCACGGCCTCTCCAGATGATCGAAGAGATCGTGTGGGTTCATACACAGAAATGCGGTCACGCAGACAGGAGGGTCCCAAACCGTTCAGGGCTTTGTAGGTAAGAATCTGCACCTTGAATCTCATCTCGACTATCTCTGGGCTCGTTATCTACTTGCTCTTTAACTTTTGCAGCTGGACCAGGTGAGAACTCTCTGGTAACAATTCAGGAAGCACACCATCATCCCCACACCCCTCAGGGACATTCTCATGGGAAACTGCAATGAAAAGGGCTGCAGGGATCTCCTGGTCATTCTCTGCATCAATATCACTGACCAAACCACTGCCATCTTTTTTTAAAAAAAATAACAATTCTTTATTTATGAGTTTTCATAAAGGACTGAATGTGCAACTGACACCTGCTATAGATGAATTAATATACAATTTTGTCCAGCAGCCGAACAGTTTGTCTTTTTATTGTGTTGTCTAACCGTGCAAGATCATTAGAGGCCAAGCCTATATGATGCTGTACACAAAAATGGTCACCTGGGCCATACTACCAATGAAGTGGTAGGTAAATACATTTTTTTCTGGCCAAGAAAAAAAGGAAGCTGCGTTCCAACAGACCTCACTACCTCTGAGGATGCTTGCCATAGATGTAGGCGAAATGTCAGGAGAAATGCTTCTAGAACATGGCTCTATAGCCCGAAAAAACCCACAAGAACCTAGTGATTCCAGCCATGAAAGCCTTCGACAATAAGCTGCGTTCTGCATGCTTCTTTCTTTCTCCCTTTCTACACGATAAATTTCCCTTAAAAGAATCCAATGAAAAGGGCTGCAATTACAACAAGAAGTGAGGGAAGAGGGTTGGAGCCATTATCCCGGAAGGCCAAGCCTGATGGTCCAGGTTTGTCTGAGTGTGCCACCTTTCTCAGCCACAAACCTTCATCTCTCAGGTGTCTATTTTCCTCCGATAGTTTCACCAAATCCGCCTGAAGTCTTTTGCATTCCTCCACTAGCTTTCTTGTTTCAGTGTCGTTAAGTGAAATGCTATGTGGTTTTGCCATTGGCCCATCCTGCTTACTTGTGTTCAGTATTGGAGCAGATTTGCTTGCATCTATGTCAAACCACTGCCATCTTGAAACTCATCTTGAACCTCATTAACATCATTCCCCACATCTAAAGCACTCTGATCGTGAAACACCATCACAGGCTGAACTCTAACAGGCAGGAGGGGATTGGATGATCTTTGAGGGTCTCTTCCTACTTTAGGCTTCTATACAGGTTTGTATAGACAGCAAAGCCTAGAAAAGACGCTTATGCTGGGGAAAGTGGAAGGCAAAAGGAAGAGGGGCTGACCAAGGGCAAGATGGATGGATGGCATTCTTGAAGTGACTGGACTGACCTTGAAGGAGCTGGGGGTGGTGACGGCCGACAGGGAACTCTGGCGTGGGCTGGTCCATGAGGTCACGAAGAGTCGGAGACGACTGAATGAATGAACAACACAGGTTTGTTGCCTAGATGTGTCTGTGCAGTTAGGAATCGGGAGAACTAATGCTGGAGGGATAAAACCACCCTCTTTGGCATCTTCACTATTCAACACATAATCAGTACGATATCAGTATTGCATTAAAGCTATGGTAGCAGCAGTAGTTGTAGTAACAGCAAGGCACAAAGTAGGGCTGTGCAAATCTTCGGAGGTCTATTGTAATTCAAAAATGTGTATGATTCATTTATACAAAATCTCCAAATTACTAATCAGAATGGGATCCCTGCTAAGCATTTCAAAATAAAACAGAAGCTTCCAAAACGTTTCGGAGAGATTGGTAAAGATTTCTTGTTTTGGAGCTTTTTAAGCAGTGTTTTCTGAAAAAAAGTATTTTTTAAAATTCTTAAACATTGGTAGGTGAAGGCATTTTTCTGAAACTTTGCAGGATTTATGCCCTGCTTATGTTGTCTCGTTGTGCAAAAATTCAAGGGGATACCTCTTGTAGTTTCTTTTTAAAAATGCATTTCTAAAAACTTTTAAAATTTCCTTAAAATCAATGGATGACTGAAATGTTCTGAAACTTGGCAGGCTTAAAGTCGTAAGGGCTGCCTACATTTGTGCCAAGTTTCATCCTGATAGCCATAAAAATGACCGAGAAACAAGTCTCAAAATTTTCCCCATTGCCACTAATAGAACAAATCTTAATGAAACAATTACAAAATGAAATGGGAATCCTCTGAATCTTTACAAAACAAAGCAAGGGCCACCTGAATCTCCAAAATGAATTACTAATCCGACTTCAGCCGCTTGCCCGCCTCTAGCACAAGCCCTGGCTCCCCGTGCTCTCTCTGGAGCGTCAGTGAATCTGACCTTAACCAGTGTCCAGGAAACAATGCGTCCATCAGAAGAGACCGAAAAGAAGTTCAAGTTGTTGTCCATGTCGTCCTTCTGCCACTTGACCTGAGAAGGAGAAACGCAATGATCAGAGACACAGACAATCCCACAATGCAAGGCATTTGCAAAGGAAAAGAAACAGCACATCTGCAGTCCAGAGTGACCACCATCTCTGTTCATTTCAATGCAGCCATGCTGGATTGGGCCCAGAAAGAATAGTAATAATCATCATCATCATCTTCATCATCATCTATATATAAATAAAAATGTAATGTTAGTTTGTGGGATTAACATAACTCAAAAACCACTGGGTGAATTGATACCAAATTTGGACACAAGACACCTCTCAGGCCAACAAGTAACCATATATATAAATAAAACGGTAATGTTCGTTTGTGATACCATCAGAACGCAAAAACCACTGGGGGAATTGACACCAAATTTGGACACAAGACACCTAACAACCCAATGTATGTCCTCCACTCAAAAAAATTGATTTTGTCATTTGGGAATTGTCGTTGCTGGGATTTATAGTTCACCTACAATCAAAGTGTATTCTGAACCCCACCAACAATGGAATTGAACCAAACATAGCATAACAGGACTCCCATGACCAACAGAAAGCGCAAGAAGGGTTTGGTGAGCATTGACCTTGATCTGGACCAAACTTGGCACAAATATTCCATATGCCCAAATATGAACACAGATGGAGTTTGGGGAAAACAGACCTTGGCATTTGGGAGTTGTAGTTACTGGGAGTTATAGTTCACCTACAATCAAAGAGCATTCTGAATCCCACCAATGACAGAATTGGGGCAAACTTCCCACACAGAACCCCATGACCAACAGAAAATACTTAAGATGATCTAGTCCATCTCCCTTCAGAAGAGCAAGAAAATGTAATCAAAGCCCTCCTGACAAAGAGCTATTAGATATAGATAGATATGATTCACACAGAGAGAAAGAGAGATAGTATAATAGATTTGAAAGGGACCCCTAGAGAAGAACAATGATATGTTGCCTGTTCCAGAGTAGGCAAACCAGACAATCACCACATTAACACTGACCAAGAAACAGTAAGAAATAGTGTTTACCCACAAGCATCAAGACATTACATAGATTAGAAACCCACACTTTCTCAGTACTTTATTTTCCAAATCACCAGACTGGGCCACAGCAACGCCTGGCAGGGGATGGCTAGTCACTCATAAAAACACTGGAAAACACAGGAAAACCTACCTATCTATCTGGAGGATTGCTGGGAGTTGCAGGAATGGGAAATTGGAAATATACATGGATTGGGATGCTCTCAAAGAAATCCAAGGAGAAGAAACCTTGCAGCTTGGAAGCAGTGCATTTGGATCATCCTCCTCTCCTAAAGGGCCTGGTCTAGGGGATGCTGGGAGCTGTAGTCCTGAAGAGAGTGTGGATATTGTGTGTTTTGTTTGCCGGGGGGAGTTATTTTTGCATATGCGCTGTAGCGTCTTTTTTTGCTCTTTTTGGCTTTTTAAGTCCCAGTGTGTTGAGACTATGCCTGTGTTTGACCCTGAATCTGTTATAGTGTTTCCCCTTCCTAATGTTTCTGAGCCAGACTTGGATGTCAATGAGGATGAGGTGCAAAATGAAGACATTTTGGACAATAAGGTTATTACAGACTGATTGAGAAGGGTCAGGGGAATGGCTAAGTTCTCATGAGAAAATTCCAGGCTTGAGTTTGCAGGAAATTTCACTCCCTTCTCCCGGCTCGAGTCTGCAAGATAGTTGCACACCTGCAATTAACGAAGGGATAGATAAGACGAGTCGCCGTCTGGAAATTAGCCAGAACCATAGGGAGGCCCAATGTTTATGCAGGTCAGAAAGAATTCAGCAATTAAGGTCAAAGACTGGGCGGGGGGGAGTAGAAATCGGTTTCTGGGACTTAAATTGATTGAGCTCTTGGGAAATTTCCTTCAGACCGGGCATAGTTTGGGTTTCAAGTCAAGTCTTTTGGATATTCTTGTGGCCTAGGCTTCCTGGCTTTTCAAGTGGATTAGCAGTGGCTATGTTCATGGTTTATACAGAAGGCATTTGATATTTCTTTACATCTGGATTTAAACAGTAAGCTTTTAGGATCTTTCATATTATTCCTATGTTTGGACACTGTTTATGTTACTGCTTATTTGGTTTTTTGCTTTTGGACTTTTATCAACTTTATATTCATCTCTTTTATTGGCACCAATTATTCTTCAAATAAAGATGACTCTCTTTTCATCCAAGGTGTGGTGTAATTAATGATTAGAGGATCCTGTTCCTACTCTGGGATGCAACACAGTGAAGGGTTAATGATGTAGTGATCTGGAACTTGAGGGACATGCAAAGAAGTTGAGTCATGACCATATGACAGGCATGACAAGTGTGGCATCATTCACTGTTGTCCCTGTTTGATGACGAGAAGCAATGCGTATAAAAGTGGCAAGCATATGCTCGCTCTCGCTCTCTCGCCATGATTCTCTCACTTCTCTCTGCACATCTGTTGCTGATATCTGTATCTGTCATCTCCTATCAGAATATACAGAGTATATATATGTAGCACTGGGACAGTGGCTTGGAGTCAGTTACATTAAGATCACTACTGACTGAAAGGTCATGAGTTTGAAACCAGCCTGGGTCGGAGTGAGCTTCTAACCAATTTGTGTAGCTTGCTGTCGACCTTTGCAGCCTGAAAGACAGTTGCATCTGTCAAATAGGAAATTTATGCACCACTTATGTGGGGAGGCTAATTTAACTAATTTAAAATGCCACCCTGAGTCACCTTCAGGCTGATATGGGCAGGATAGAAATAGTGTAAATAAATAAATAAATAAACTAATTTACGAGGCCATAAAAATCTCCAGCAAGCATGCAAAGAATGAGGAAGTACTTTATCAGTGTCACAAATGGACGGTGAAGTGACAGCTCTCCTGGTAGCCAGAATACCCTCATGAAAGCTGGAAGTTAAATAGCCTCTGCGTGTCTGTCTATATATGTTGTGTGTCCACTGCATTGAATGTTTGCCATGTATATGTACATTGTAATCCACCCTGAGTCCCTTGCGGGGTGAGAAGGGTGGAATATAAATACTGTAAATAAATAAAATAAATAAATATCTCTGTATATACTGATAGGAGATCAGGGGATCCTGATGTGTGTATATAGCTGTACATAAAGCAACGTATCAAAATTAAAAGCCTCCAGTGTGAATTTTGGATGAAAACTAAGTGTAAGGAGTTTTCTTCAACAGTGAGTGGCACAAGGTCAGACTGTGCAGTAAAAACTCTGCTGAAGACTGATAAGGACTCTGCAATGTTTGGATTGATTTGTATAGCTTGCCCCCTGATACAATCAGTCAGGTGCACAGCGTAGGGAGGGCGTGATTGAGGAAGGAGAAACTATAAATCACATTCCCACCCACTGTTCGTAACAATGCACACACATACGCAAACCTTTTCCCTCTTTTCCTGTCTGCACTTTTTCCCCCTCTCAGCTCAGTCCTGTTGCAACTCAGGGTAGTTTCACGTTGCTCCCAAACACCACCACACCAGAACTGTAGATTTTGTAGTTTATTGAGAAAAAAACAAAGTCAAAACACAGAGTAAGAAATGCAAAAGTTCCACAAGCAGGACAGAGGCTTAAATGCAAAAACACAGTTCCCAAGATCCAAAGGCAAAAACATGAAGCATCATCCTTTAGGCCAGTGGTTCTCAACCTGGGGTCCCCAGATGTTTTTGGCCTACAACTCCCAGAAATCCTAACAGCTGATAAACTGGCTGAGATTTCTGGGAGTTGTAGGCCAAATACATCTGGGGACCCCAGGTTGAGAACCACTGCTTTAGGCAATGATCAAACAGGAGTCCATGGTAAAACAGTGAAACACAAGACCCAAAATCCCAGATTCAGAAAGCCAAAAGTGTGCTGCTTAAAGCCAAGATTAATCCATAGAACTTAGCATGGAAAGAGCCACGTTTGTCAGCCAAGACTAAATACCCTTTGCAACCATGAACGTATTGCGATGACCCTTGGCCGACTTAGCTTCTCGCTCAGCTAAGCGAGAGCTCCTTCAGACCCTTAATTCTAAGTGTTCTTGCCTGCTCATTATTTCACTCTCTTCAAGGCTCTCTTTATCATGGTCCAGCTGGACTAGATGACCGTGGGAAGGCTGCAGAGGCGAAGACTACTCCACCTGGCTGTTATCTATCCCACTGACATTCTTTTCCCCTGAGAACTGAACTTGATGTTTCCCCTGTCACACTGTCTGAGGCAGGCACGACATAAATCTGAATCCCATCATCTTCTTCATCAGGGAACTCTGGCTCACAAGTCACATGGGGTTCAGTTTCAGACTCAGAATCAAACTGAGTCACAACAAGTCCTTCTGTTTGTCACCTCTGTTTCTCTCTGTCCCTCTCTGATTACCAAAACAATCTCAAACTTCTTCAAGTTGAAATTGTAGGAAAAGAGATTCCACCTCAACATGAGGAAGAGCTTCTCGACTTTTAGAGCTTTCGGACCATGGAATGTGTTGCCTTGAAGTCCAGTGCCGTTTCCCTCTCTGGATGGATGGCCATCTGTCAGGAGGGCTTTGGTTGTGCCTTCCTGCCTGGCAGAAAGTAGGGGGTTGGATTGGATGGCCTTTGGGGGCTTCTTCTAGTGCTATGATTCTATAGAAACCGACCCCTTGGACTGTGATACTTTGACGGAGGACGTGAGGATGGAGAAATACCTGGAGGCCAAAGAGAGAAATCTCAGGCTGACATGCAATGTGCCGCAACTGATCCAATTTCCAGGTGTGTAAATCCAATCAGGCGGAGGGTGAAGGATGGGCTGCCAGGCACCCCCGTCCGCACGAGTCCCTTGGCTGATCCATCACGTTCCCAGCCCTGCAAAGGGGCAGCATTTATCTCTGCCGGCGCCACGCGGTAGATATGGATTCCCTTTGGCATCCCTCTTTATAAATGAGCCCTATTATACTGGAGCTCAGCGCATCCTTCATGAGCGGCGGTCTATTCATGTGCCCTTTCTCTTCCTTTCCACGCCGAAAAGGCCAATTG